TGGATCTGTTCTAACAATTTCCACCATAATAAACCATTTTAAAGTGCAGCTGGTGTCACAGGTCACAGGTCACAGGTCACAACTTGAGGAAGTGCCAGACTGCCTCCGCTCCACCTGTACAGAGAAGTCCTGCTGTAGCACTGTTCACCACACTTAGAGCGATGAGCTATTTATACCACCTCCTATTGCAGTGTTTGTCAAGTCATGCCCCTCTGAAAGAAGATACACATGTTATACTCTTAACAAGCCTCTTCCCCCTGCTTAAAGGAGTAGTTTAACACACAAATTAAAACTGGCTGAAAATTTATCCTCAGGTCTTCTGATATGTAGATGAGTTTGTTTCTTCATCAGAACAAATTTGGAAAAATGTAGCATTACATCACTTGCTCACCAATGGATCCTCTGCACTGAATGGGTGCTGTCAGAGTTGCTAATTGATGGATTGAAGTCATGTGGGTTACTTGTGGATTATTATGATGTTTTTATCAGCTGTTTGGACTCTCATTCTGACGGCACCCATTCACTGCAGAGGATCCATTGGTGAGCAAGTGATGTAACGCTACATTTCTCCAAATCTGCTCTGATGAAGAAATGAACTCATGCATCTTGGATGGCCTGAGGTTGAGTAAATTTTCAGCAAATTTTCATTTTTGGGAGAACTATTCCTTTAATGTCCTTGATTGTTGTGAAGGTCTCATTACCAAACAATTCCAAAATGGGCAATTAAAAAAAATAACATGAATGAATAAAAATTATTTAAAAAAACACTCAATAAACAAAGAATGTAGTTAAATCTCCATGCTGAGATCAGAGAAACAACTATACAGCATGGACACGTTACCACTCAGCAATGCTGCTCAATAGTGCCACACAGCAGTGAGTATTAGCAGGCTAGCTGTCTATAGCTCTGATCTCTGCCTACAGGTGGGGCGCTATTTCGGGCTTTCCCTTGTTGTCCGCATTGGTCTTCCAGAATGGAGCTTTTTTTAAAATAATAGTGAAACTGGAGTTTTGGACATGAATGTTTTTATCAGCTGTATGGACTCTCATTCTGATGGCACCCATTCACTGCAGAGGATCCATTGGTGAGCAAGTGATGTAACGCTACATTTCTCCAAATCTGCTCTGATGAAGAAATGAACTCATGCATCTTGGATGGCCTGAGGTTGAGTAAATTTTCAGCAAATTTTCATTTTTGGGAGAACTATTCCTTTAATGTCCTTGATTGTTGTGAAGGTCTCATTACCAAACAATTCCAAAATGGGCAATTAAAAAAAATAACATGAATGAATAAAAATTATTTAAAAAAACACTCAATAAACAAAGAATGTAGTTAAATCTCCATGCTGAGATCAGAGAAACAACTATACAGCATGGACACGTTACCACTCAGCAATGCTGCTCAATAGTGCCACACAGCAGTGAGTATTAGCAGGCTAGCTGTCTATAGCTCTGATCTCTGCCTACAGGTGGGGCGCTATTTCGGGCTTTCCCTTGTTGTCCGCATTGGTCTTCCAGAATGGAGCTTTTAGCATAGCACTTTAGCCTTTGAACTGAAGAAAATAAATTTTTAGAGCAACTTTCAGAGGTTTAAACAGTATAAGGTTCATACATATTCATAAAATGGAGTCAGAACCGTACAGTAACTATGACATATCTTATTTTTTTCTTTCCTGGTAGGAAATGCAACCCTTTGTTGCACACTGGTGGTGGATGAGGAGATGACCCCTGACAATGTAAAGCGCTTTGAGTGCCTAGAAAAGCGCTATATAAAAATGTAATGAATTATTATTATTATTATTACATCTTGGATGGCCTGAGGTTGAGTAAATTTTCAGCAAATTTTCATTTTTGGGAGAACTATTCCTTTAATGTCCTTGATTGTTGTGAAGGTCTCATTACCAAACAATTCCAAAATGGGCAATTAAAAAAAATAACATGAATGAATAAAAATTATTTAAAAAAACACTCAATAAACAAAGAATGTAGTTAAATCTCCATGCTGAGATCAGAGAAACAACTATACAGCATGGACACGTTACCACTCAGCAATGCTGCTCAATAGTGCCACACAGCAGTGAGTATTAGCAGGCTAGCTGTCTATAGCTCTGATCTCTGCCTACAGGTGGGGCGCTATTTCGGGCTTTCCCTTGTTGTCCGCATTGGTCTTCCAGAATGGAGCTTTTAGCATAGCACTTTAGCCTTTGAACTGAAGAAAATAAATTTTTAGAGCAACTTTCAGAGGTTTAAACAGTATAAGGTTCATACATATTCATAAAATGGAGTCAGAACCGTACAGTAACTATGACATATCTTATTTTTTTCTTTCCTGGTAGGAAATGCAACCCTTTGTATGACACTACAAACATCTCATGCAAGCATCCTCCTTCTAATACTTTTAGATGCTTCTCAAAGCTGCTGGTTAAACCCCTTTAACCCAGAGTATGAGTCTTCCAGTACCAAAGGTGTCGCAGTCTGAAGGGAGAGAGAGAGATGCATGCTGGGTCTGAGCTCAAGTTACAGATGACAGTGCTGTCCTTCAGGCTGAGGGGGTTTCCAGCTCGTTTTGGTGAACATTTGCTTAACGAAACATTTGAAAACATGAAAATGGACAATAATTAGCTAAAAATTCACAGAAATCTCCCCCCAAAAGGAAAAGAATATGTTTATTTGCACTGCTGGCTGTTGAGGTAGAGAGATGCAGTCAATTCTGTTGCAACCTGTTCATACTGCGTCTAAAGTGTGTTGTGTTCATAGTATTATTAGTTATTTGTAATATGAATACAATGCATGAATGCCCTGGAGGGAGCATCAGAGCTGTTCATTCCAAAAGCATGCTGTTGTGTCAGAGAACAATGAGCCAACAGACTCGTCTCCACTGACAGGTCTAAATCACACACTGTAAAAAAAAATCCCGTAAAAAAAACGGTAAAATTCCGGCAGCTGGGCTGCCGGAAAATTACCGTAAAATAACGGGCACATTAAATAACAGTAATTTTCCGTAATTCAAAAATGTGTGAGTGTGAGGATGTGTGTGTGAGGATGCGTGTGTGAGAGTGTGTGTATGTGAGTGTGAGGATGCGTGTGTGACAGTGTGTATGTGAGAGAGTGTGTGTGTGAGGATGCGTTTGAGAGTGTGTGTATGTGAGAGTGTGAGGATGTGTGAGTGTGAGGATGTGTGTGTGAGAGTGTGTGAGGATGTGTGTGAGAGTGTGTGTGTGTGTGAGGATGTGTGTGAGTATGTGAGTATGAGGATGCGTGTGTGAGGATGCATGTGTGTATGTGAGAGTGTGTGTGTGTGAGGATGCGTTTGAGAGAGTGTGTGTATGTGAGTGTGAGGATGCGTGTGTGAGTGTGAGGATGTGTGTTTGAGAGTGTGTGTATGTGAGAGTGTGTGAGGATGTGTGTGTGTGGAGTGCGTGTATGTGAGAGTGAGTGTATGTAAGGATACGTGTGTGAGAGTGCGTGTTGAAAAAGTGTTTGTGAGAGTGAGTGTACATTGACATTTTTTTCATGTGATTTTACACTGGATTTGTAAATTTACAGTCTATTTCTGTAATTTTACAAATTTTAACTGTATTTCAAAAATACGTGAAAAAACTGTAAAATAAAATGGTAAAATTCCGTAAAATAACAGTTTTTTTTACAGTGACTGTCACCACAGCAACAAGACCTGCGGTCTATAAAGTGATAAAGTATTTGCACTTTATAAAATCATAATAATGATAATAAAACCAAGAAATTAACAGATAAGTTGAAAGTGGCCATTTTTATGTACTTTTTTAACGTATGTTATATGCTGTAATATTGTTCTAGTTCTAGAGTGACCAATTGAGATATCTGGGTTATCACACACCTTTATGTGACCGTGATAAGTGGGTCAGAACTGACTAGACAAGCCACAGACTCTCAAGATAAAGCCTACTGGCTCCAACAGCCAACAATAGCTTTCCATGTAAACAAGCTGATGTGTGTGTGGAAAATATGAATGAAAACAAACAAACCTGATAAAGCATCTATATATACAAACCTACCTCCAATGTGGATTATTAGAATACACTGTAATGGAAAAAGAATTCTAAATGCTGAAAAAATTATATTAAATGAAAAGGTAAATACTGGAAAATTGTGGGGGGTTTTTGGCTTGGCAATGGGAAAAGTATGAATTACCATATAATTTACAGCAAATATCTATCTTTCAATAAATCAATACCTGTATTTTTACTGTAGGTTATTGCATTTAGAATACATTTTTCTGTTACACTCTCTCTCTCTCTCTCTCTCTCTCACACACACACACACACACACACACACACACACACACATTATTAATTATATGTATCTAGTTAAGATATATAAAGAAGTTCTTGCATGGTGCATAACATTCAACTATATTTTATTTGCATTTTTTTCTCAAGATTTTGCAATCAGGGCGGTTGCATGTTACATTTTATTTATAGAATAATTTTAATGCCATGTTATTGTCTCTGTATTTACTAGTATATTTATATACTTATTATTATTAATTCATCAAGTGACCTAATTTAACACCTGTATTATTATAGTATCTGTGTATGGTACAATGTTTTAGTAGCTCAAATATAAGCTGCAAATAATACTATTAGACATAACATTAGTAAAAAAAAACTAAAGGCAAAAACGTCGCCAGTAATGCACGAAAGGTTGTAAACGTAAATTTAACATGATTTTTTAGAGTGTACAGGCAGGCTGCCATTAAAAATACATAAACGAATGAATAAGCACATTACTAAATAATAACTTACAGGTAATTCGTGTCGTTGACAGCTTGAAAAAAAAACAATTATAGTGTTCAAACAATTAATTTTGTGTAAAAGAGCCTCAGACTCGGAGATAAGGAGACATATGTAATGCGACAGCTGAGGCCGTCAGCCGGTGTCGCGTGTGGAATGCGGTAGATGGAGAGGGGCACGGATATTTTTATGGATAGCGCCCACCGACACCCGACTGCGCTCATTGGACTCTCTGTCGCACGGGAAGAAAGGACTAAACCTGTGCTTGTGGATTTAGACTTGATTTTGGCATTATCAAAGCCACTGTGAACTACGAACAAACCTTATGATTGAAGACAAAGGGAGAATTTCACTCTAAAGAAGGTAGGATATTTTTTACGTTATCGTTTATGAAGTGTGAAGAATTTAATAAAGCCTATGGGAGAAAAAAAAATCCAAAGGGCAAGTCCACAGACGGATGAGGGCCTGTATTACATGGTCGACCTCATGTCTTTACTTAACTCACTGAGAATACAGTATAGACTGAGCAGACTTTTATTTCATCTGATCCTAAATTACTTTAAACACTAATGTTTAAGGGGAAAAAAAGCTAATAAATAGAAAAAGCGAGACTGAAAAACGTAAAGATCTTCATAAAAACTAGTGGAGAACATTATATAATAAGAAATTGTAATAAATTATTGTTTAGCCCCATGATAAATAGATATAAAGAGATATATATTTATATGTTGAACACATTATTAAATGACAACTCAAAAAAATATTGACATTTTGTGACACCTTTAGTGTGCAATTCTTTTGAATATTAGGGTTTAGCTAACCGTTTTTAAACAGATATATGAAAACATTTATCCTCAGTTTCCAACAAAACTCTGAAATCAACCTTAAATGTGAAGATGAAGTATACTAATCAAGATAGTAAACATTGTGTCTACATAATGTAAGGAATGGATTTCTGTGCAAAATGCTTAGTGTACAGCATAAATTCACATCAATTGATAAAAATAAATACATCAATTGGAATGTGGTGAGAAACAATGCTTAAAAATGGCGACATTGTTTGCAGTGGCCATATTGTCTTCGTCATCTGCTAAAAGTGAGGTGTGATCAGTTGTGAGTTCTAGTCACCAGAGGAGCTCCAGTTGTGTGAGATGTTATATGAATAGCAAAGGAGAGTGACTATGCATCGAAATTTAGATGATTACAGGTATATGCTAATATTACACATGTAGTGAGTCGTGCCTAAAATCGTGTTTTTCTGGGTAAATGCTGTTGTTGTTCTGGGATTATTGTAGCTTGAATGAATGATGTTAGATGTAGAATCTATGAAACGCAAAGATACAATCTGAAACTGCACATAGTGTAAAAACACATATTGTCACAATAAATAAATTGTTGCTAACTTTCAGTATTTAGCTAAACTGACTGTACATTTGCACCGTAGAGACACAACACATGTAGTCATTTAGTCAGGGGTCTCATGTGCGCCATCTGGGTGCTGACCTCTTCTTAGACTCATATCTCCAGGTAAAAATAGCCCCAATCACATGGCCGGACCCAGACTGGGAGTTAAAATTAGGGCCTGTATGTCCCACAAGGCTCCTGTTGGAGGTCCCCCACACATCTGCTCTTTTGTAGACCACCAACTAACACTATCAAGACTCAAAGCTGACTTTAATACCATTTATTTACCTTTTAAAGAAAACAATTAACAGTCTAAGAATCTTAGATCTGTAACATAATAAAGATTACAGTTAGTCAAAAGCAGTTCCTTTGCAATGGAATCTTGTGGTCATGATGTCTTTTTCCCAATGTCAGCTTAATCTGACGTATCTTGCAACAGGCCCTGTTACGGTGTGCCTTAGAAACGACACCATGACTGATGTGATAAGCATGGCGGACGTGTCAACAGACATGACGCATATAAACAACACAAAAAACACGGACGATATAGCTGATGCTAATGATACAGAGAATACAATCAATGATGAAGACCATAAAGAAGAAACACGTGACGTGAGCATGTCTGAAGAAGTGGAGATGAAGAGTGTTGCAGATGAACCAAGGAAGACCAAGTTACCAGAGAAGAAAGAGCCCAAACAGGAGACAAAGACCACCGGCAGGACGAGAAAACGAGAGAGGGTTTCCAAAACGAATGAGGAAAACATCACCCAAGTGGAGAAAGATGAAGAGGTGGATGTATCACATGATATGACAAATATGTCAGAGGTGGCACTAAAACAAGAGGTACAGTATGATTGGGCTACAATAATATTTGTAAATACAAAATTCAAAATATGTAAATTCCAAAAATTACATACAATTAAATTAAAATTAATTACAAATTTAAAATAATTAACACACACACACACACACATATATATATATATATATGTG